GTGGTTGCCAGGGGCTGTGGGGTGAGGAAATGGGGTGATGGAGGTCAAAGGATACAAATGTTCAGTTATAAGAAGAGTAAGTTCTGAGGATCTAATGTACAGCATCATTACTATAGTTAAAAAATATATGCATTATATACTTGAAGGTTGCTAAGAGTAGATCTTAAGCATTCTCACCACAAAAATTTATTGCACAGCAAAGGAAACCATAAACAAAACAAAAAGACAACCCTCAGAATGGGAGAAAATATTTGCAAATGAAGCAACTGAGAAGGGATTAATCTCCAAAATACACAAACAGCTCATGCAGCTCAATAACAAAAAAAAAACCCCAGCCCAATCAAAAAATGGATGGAAGATCTAAATAGACATTTCTCCAAAGAAGACATACAGATGGCCAAAAAGCATATGAAAAGATGCTCAATATAACTAGTTATTAGAGAAACGCAAATCAAAACTACAATGAGGTATCACCTCACACCAGTCAGAATGGCCATCATCAAAAAATCTATTAACAACAAATGCTGGAGAGGGTGTAGAGAAAAGGGAACCCTTCTACACTGTTGGCTGGAATGTAAATTGATACAACCACTATGGAGAACAGTATGGAGGTTCCTTAAAAAAGTAAAAATAGAGCTACCATATGATCCAGCAATCCCACTTCTGGGCACATACCTGGAGAAAACCATGATTCGAAAACATACATGCACCCCAATGTTCACTGCAGCACTATTTACAATAGCCAGGACATGGAAGCAACCTAAATGTCCATCTACATATGGATGAATGGATAAAGATGTGGTACAGATATACAATGGAATATTACTCAGTCATTAAAAAGAACAAAATAATGCCAGTTGAAGTGACAGGGATGGACCTAGAGACTGTCATACTGAGGGCAATAAGTCAGAGAAGGACAAATATCGTATGATATCGCTTATATGTGGAATCTAAAAAAATGGTACAAATGAAGTTATTTACAAAACAGAAATAGAGTCACAGGTGTAGAAAACAATCTTATGGTTACCTGGGGGAAAAGTGGGGAGGCATAAACTGGGAGATTGGGATTGACATATACACATTACTATATGTAAAACAGATAACTAATAAGGACCTACTGTATAGCACAGGGAAAAACAGTGGAGATATATATATATATATATATATATATATAAATATATATATATATAAAACTGATTCACTTTGCTGTACACCTGAAACTAATGGAACATTGTAAATCAACTATACCCCAATAAGATTTTTTTTTAATTTAAAAGAATTAACTAAGTGAGGTGATGGATGTGTTATCTTGATCTTGGTAATAATTCCACAATGTATATCAAATCATCACATTGTACACTTCTATATACGCAATTATATTGGTCAATTATTCCCAGTTATTTCTCAATAAAGTTAAAAATACCATAAAGCTTCTATCATTAAAATAATGTGACAATTGCACAGGAATAGACAACCATTCAAGTGAAATAGAAAACAAAGTCCAGACATAGACCCAATAACCATGGAAATGTACTATATGATAGGGGTGGCATCTTAAAATCACTGAAGCAAAGACAAATTGCTTAACAAATGGTTCTGGGACAATGGATAAGCCATTTAGGAAAAGATAAAATTAAATATATATATCACAATAAAAAAACTCCAAGTAATTTGCTCAAGGTACTCAGGCTAACTCCTCAATTCTCATTCAGAAGATATCTCAAAAGCACTGTACTTTCCAGATATTAACTTAAGCCTTTCATCACCCAATTATTAACAAAAGCTATCACAGAAGTATATACCTAGGACCATCATTTTGACCTCTAATAGGATTACTTTTACTGGATTGTACTTTGACATTATGATAGCAATCTGTACTCAAATATGGAAATCACACAATACCATGAATTGTTGCCCTTCCTTTGTACAAGTGATATGTTTTTGTCCAAGGGAGAAGAAAAGCATATAACTGACCATGTTTCATTGTTTTGCCCAGTAGAAAGTTGAGACTCAAGTTTGCAATTCGGTTCTAGTGAACTGTACTGAACTTTGTGGCTGTATTTTGGGGAAAAGGTTTTTCAGTCTCAGCTGAGTTTTTAACACAAGTCAGAAGTTGTTACTAGTCCCTGGTTCCCTTCCCTGCTTAGTCCTCACATAGCTCTTCAAGCTCCCTCCTTCTGCATGCACACCTTTCTCCCACTCCTGGGATTTAGTATCCTACTTACAGAGAACACAGACTCTATCCTATTTGACCTTTTTCAACATCTTTTTCCTTTTAAAACAAATCCCTGCACTTGTGCTATGCATAACTTATTTATTCTTGATCTTCCTTGCTTTTTAGAGAAATGCACTGACGTCTGTGAATTTCCCTCTAGGTGCTTCTTTACGTACAACACTAGATTTTATAGTGATTTGTTACTTAATTCTAAATATTTTCTAATTTCCATTGTGATTTTTTTCTTCTCATGATGTTTTTAAGTTACCAAAGTTTATTTTACTGCTCTTAATACTGTCAATTTAAAACTTAATTGCACTGTAAACGGAGAATATAGCCTTCTGGAGTTGAGGGTCCAGGTGTAGTATTTTCAAACCTTGTTTTATAAAGCCTAAATTATTTCATCTGTTACAACTGCATCATCTAATACCTTTATGTGGATGACTATACAAACATGTATCTCTAGTTCACTCTTTTGAGTGTCAGGTCTACAATTTTCTATACACTTATGAGACTAATTTCCTGTATGTCCTATAGGCACTTCAGCCCTAACAAAATCAAAACCAAAGCATTATCTCCACCCACCCTGAGTATCCTCCTCCTTTTTTATTCTCTATTTTTAGAATGGTGATCTACATTCTACATAACTGTTCAAGCAAAAATTATTAAATTTGTCTTTTATTCCTCTCTCACACAAGCTGAATGAACTGAACTGAGTGATTCAACTGCTGTGAATTATATTTCCTAATTATTTCTTGAAGCCACCCTTTCCTCTCTATTATTACAGGCCCTCATCATTAATCCCCTGACCTTGCATTATACTCCCAAGCAGCCTTAGTTCTGTCATCTCTCCCTCTCTCGTTCTCTTTTATCTTTACTCCTTCTACCACAATTATGTTGAAATGCATGTCTGATAAGTTCATTCCTTTGATTAAAAATCTTTGATCACTGTCTACAGGATAAAGTCAAAATACAGCACAACATATAAGATCCTTTACCTGAGAAAATTCATCTACTGTGCAAGTAGAAACTTTTCAGGCTTGATATACTGTTAAACATGCTATTTTAAATTCTTAGACATACAAGTCTATTAAAAGCCTAATGTCAAGAAGTATTTAAATAGAGCTGTTGCCTCATATACGATATCCTACATCCTATATTCTTATGATCAAGAAGAAGTTATGATCTTTGGATTAGGCCCCATTTCCCAAACAACCTGGCACCAATTATTGAGAGAATACAGGTTACATCTTTAGCCCCATCAAAAAATTTAAAATAGGTAAGGAGGAAGAATGGGCATAGGTTAGGGCTTACTACCTTGCAGGAGTCAAAGACAATGAGGCAATGTTTTGAATCATGACTGCAAATCATAAAATCCCAAAGGCAACAGAGGAAAAAAAATTTTTGGAAAATTAAGTAATAAGTAAAAACATGGCCCATGCATCCTTTAACCTGGCTTTATATAAAAGAAGAAAACGGTCCAAAGCCATACTGATAACAAGGAGGTGACACAGTCCTTCCTAGGACACATACCATCTGTAACTAAAATTACAAGAGAATAATCCATGTTCATAAAATTAACCTTTAAAGATAATAAAAGATAAATTAGGTTCTGCATCCTCAGTATGAGAACACAGGTAAATATGATTCGTTCCAGGAAGGTTTTCATGACAAATGATTAAATGAATGTAGGCTCATAAAAGATAAACTTATATTAATCTGTTAATTACTACTTTGTCTGTTAATAATCATTTTTATTACTCAAAACAATTTCCTTCTTCCCAGAATGATGACATCAATACATTGCTGTATTTTACCTCCTATTACCTCTCTATTATTAAAAGTAGATACAATGTAGTTTTTTAGATTTTTGAACTATCAACATCCAATACGTTTTTAAATTAGACAATAAGTAAGAATAGGTATCTGCTAAAGAAATCAACCAACCCTGAAAGACAGCTGTGGAATAAGAAATAGACCTTACAGTTTACAAAGAGAGGGAGAAAGCATCAGGACTGTACTATTCCTAGAAACTATGCCTACTGCTTTGACACTATGGGGACTTTATTGCTCTGATTTATTTATTGTGAAGCCAAATTCACTTTCTCACTGTTAATGCTGCATCTATGACTCTGGATCAAATGTGAATGTGTATTTATATGTTTATGTATGCATATGTTTTGGTTTATATTTTTGAACTACGGTGAGCTTCAGAAGCTTTATCTCTATGTAGTATATCGTCGACTCATAAAATGATTTTTTTAAAAAAAAAACTTAAATGTTTCATCTCAGAAGCTCATGTCCTATGTAGTCTTAAGAAAAAGCACCTCTACATCAAGCATTAAGCCAAAGTAAGAATTTCAAATATACAAGCAAATCTGATATATGTGCTACAGACTTAATTGAATTTATCCTAGAATATGAGATCCAAATGATATATGCATATTAAAAAATTGGAAGCATTCTGCATTAAAAATTCAATGGCGTTTAGGTCCTGAAATTTGATTTCAAGCTCCAAGCATGTGTTATTAGTAGTCGTTGTGCAGAACAAATAAATCAGCTGTGACCTAACCAGGACTATAATGCAGCTAATACCTTTTCTATTTTCTAGAGATCACTGTTGCCTACCTCCTGACATAACAGAAAAAATTTAGTCCAAACTATTTTCAAAGATATCAACTTTAAAGACAATCTTTCTTAAACCTATTATGTAAAAGCATGTTTTACTAGTCAAGTTTAATTTCTATATTTATTTAAATTAATTATATTCCCACCAACATTTTACCTCTGGTCCTCGAGAGCCAGATGGTCCTTGGGGTCCTGGGTTACCTGTTTGGCCCTAAAACGTGGGGGTGGGTGGGAGAAATCAAAGTATAAACATTAATTTAATAAATATGATTTAAAAAGGAAACATATGGTAAGCAAAAAGCACTAAATATATTATGCCACACAAAGTTGTAATGACTTTCTGGCAAACAACACTCAATATATGATAATATGCCAAAGTTTTAATGACTATTCAGAAAGACTTAATTTATAACCATCGTCATTGTAGAAAACTTATTATATAGAGACAGGTGTCCATATATATATATATATATATATTTATATTTACTCCTAAATGTTAGGGCTACAAACAAATTAATGGAAATCAAATCAAGGAAAAAAATTGTGTGTGTGGGTATGTGTTACCCAGAGATAAGACAGTAAACTTTGACTTAACAAAGTAGGGAACTCTAGATGAAGAACTGTTTCCATAAATAGCCAGGGTCCTCTGATTGTCTCTGAAAATTCCTTTCTCCTTTCATAACTATAAGGGGGCTGATTTTGTAATTAAGAATCACCTGGATTTAAATCCTTGTTGCTTAATCTCTCTCAGCCTCAGTTGTCTCACCAATAAAACACGAATAATAACAACAGTAGTAACATTCTTACAGAGTCATTGTAAGGATTAAATGAGACAATAAATGTATAAGTGTTAAGCACAGTGCCTAGCACATAGAAAGTACTCATTAAATGTTAATCAATTTTATAACCATTAATCCTTCCCTTCACATCCTCTCTCCTCTCCTGGATGATACCTAGAATTCCTAGATTGCTTTAATCCTTTCACTAAACTTCTGAGGATTCAGTTTCAATAACTCTGCAGCCATTTTCTGACATTCAGGCTAACAATGTGAAATCAGGGATGCAGAAGAAGGTCCGAGGAAAGAGAAGTGGGTAAAAGCCTGCTACTAGAGAGGGCTGGTGATGCTCTTAAGAGAGGAAACTACAGAACAGGGAAGGCCGGTAGTCTGATACCCTTGTTTTCATAAAAAATATTGAATTCATTATTTGTCATATTAAATTTCTATGTGAGCTTTAAATTTGACTTAAATAGGTCTCAGAATACATAAAATTGCTTGCATTTCTTATACATAAAATTTTATGTATAATATGGGTTTATCCACTTTCCAAGAAGTAAAGCACAGTTTTCCATATGTACTAAATTCAGTCTCGTAGAGTGCTAGAGTATCTGGACTTAAACAGTACACAATACAACTACTGCAATCAAATCTAGTGAAAAGTAATAAAGTATTATGCAGAAGTTCACTGAAGTTCCCCTAAATAAACAAAATTATAATCCATCATACTCCATCATAATCAGTATCTAAGGGAGTCAAATTCTTAAAATGAATATTACCTCCAAGAGATAGAGATGAAGTTCTCACTGAGGCCCTCTAGTGGCAAAATCTAAACAAGACACTAAATTTACAAGCTTGAGGAAAAATCAGCATACACTAGGCCTTTGTTTTCAGAAAAGTTGATTGACAACCTGATATTTAAAAATATAAATTGTGGAATAATTTTATTCATCCTTCAGAAAAAATTTTCATTTTGAAAAACTTCAATGGCAAGTTTCCTTGAATGTCAATTCTCCTTTAGAAAAACTGAGTTTTCAAGTAACTTTTAGAGAATTGAATAATGATTAAAAGTAAACTTCTACAAATGACAGCAACTTCTAGCTAAAAAAAAATGGAAAGGACATAATTGTATTTATTTTCTCTTTTTAAAAAAATAATATTTCTTAACAACTTCAGATTGGTAGTTTCCTTTAGTTTTTAAATACTTGCAGGGTAAAAGCTTCCCTATTCCAGAATGTTAAAATCCTTCTGGATCAGGACATTCTCTTATCTTGAAAACATTCTTTTATGTTATAACTTAGATCCATTTGGAAACAGTATCAGTGACACCAACATTTTATGTAACAGAAAACCAAAAGTAGGAGATATAAAATAAGAAAGACATTCTCATGACTCTGGCATTCTTTGCATGATAGTAAACAAATGATTTAGATAGGCACTAACTTGTATAATCTATTTTTAACATGATTGCTGATACTGTGTACGTAATTTTTCATGAAACAGGTGTCTCCTTCCATAACGAGGAAAGTCAAACTACAATTTTTTCTAACAATAGATAGAAACAAGTGATAAATAAAGTGAAAGTCTAAAGGCAAGGCCATCTCATAAATATTAATTCATAAGTCTCTATCCTATCTTCAGTCCAAAGTATGTATATTTTGAAGATTTGATTGAAAGAAACAAAAAATAGCCAACTGTTTCCTACCAAACTAATCCCTGCTGACATTAAAATATTTTTATTAGAATAGTACAAAAAAGGTATAACACGAGCAAGCAAAAGCCTCACGCTCACCATTTCAGGTTCCCTGCATCACTGCCTTAAAGAACCACATTAGAGTTTCTGGTGATTCCAGGAAAAACAAAAATTTAAGGTTTTAAGACAATGTGCTAAAGGTAAAACAGGCTGTCTTTGCTTTAGCTTAGACTAGAGCAACGTTGGTAAGCATTATTACTAAGAGAGGATTAAAGAGTCACAGAGCTGCAAGGAACCTTACATATGATATAGCCTGACTCTCATTTTAAACACGAGAAATTGGATACCATGGTGGTTAAATGTCCAAGGTCACAGCAGGTCAGTGTCAGGGCTGGAACTAAAATCTACATGTTATTCAGACCAGCAATTCTCCCTCTCCCACCCCAATAAACATGTTATCAATATAAACTGAATCAAAGAGTAAGGAAGACATTAAAAAGGTTTACCTTATATAAGCATGATATTTGACTCTGGTTTTCTCAAGTAATTAATTACAAAGTGTAAGAGAATAATATCAATTATTTATTACTTAGTATTGACCTGAGAAAATGTGTCATGCCACTTCCTTTTATTGTTATCAAAAGTTAGAAAACCCTCACATTAGAAAACAATGAAGATATAAGATAGAAGAAGAGGGTCAATCACTGCAGATATTGAAAGCCCCTTTTACGTGGTTTAGAATCATCCTTGAAAAACAGAAGCTTTTTGTTAGCTTGACCTATACTCGTGCCCCTTCTGAGATTCAACACCACGGCACAAGTCTGGGTAGATAGCTGACTGAGTGAAAACTAGTTAAGGCAAAACTCACCACCAACATGTCATTAGATAAATAGATGCCAAAAATTGTTCTTTGGATTAAATAATTCCTGGGAAATGTATATGAAATGCTGTCACTGTTAGAAGTCATAAAGAATGGTGTATGTAAAGTTACGTAACTTAATGCTGCTTCCGTTGATGCAAAAATAAACAATCCAAAGATGAGAGGGTGGAGTTAGAGGGAACATGATGAAATGCTTGGGAAAACAACACTCTTTTATAATGTTATATTAATAAATTATGATATTATATCTAAGTTTTTGTATCTACAATCACCTTCACAGAGTTGTAATCAATATTAAAACCCTAAAACAGGGCTTCCCTGGTGGCGCAGTGGTTGAGAGTCCGCCTGCCAATGCGGGGGACACGGGTTCATGCCCCGGTCCGGGAGGATCCCACATGTCGCGGAGCGGCTGGGCCCGTGAGCCATGGCTGCTGAGCCTGCGCGTCCGGAGCCTGTGCTCCGCAACGGGAGAGGCCACAACAGTGAGAGGCTTGCGTACCGCAAAAAAAAAAAACAAAAAAAAAACCCTAAAACAATCTTAAAACATTAAAGCCCAGAACACTATGGCACAGTGGCTAAGTGCATGGGCTCTGACATATGTGATTTCCTAGGTTTTCCCAGGTGGCTAACTAACTAACTATGGGACCTTGGGCAAGTTATTTAACTCTCTGTGTCTCAGTTTCCCTAATTGGTAAAATAGGAATAATAATAGTCCCAACTTCATATGATTGTTTTAAGGATTAAATTAGACGTATAGACCTTAGAAGAGCACTTGGCTCTTTGTAAGCACTCAGTAAATGTTAGCTATAATAATTATTACGATTTTTAATATGCAGGTAAATACCTTTAACTCATGTTTTAACCATTTTTCATTTAAATGTTTTTAATTATCCAGTAACTTTAGTTTTATAGCTTCTTAGGCTTCAAGTTAACTACAATACATGGTATCCTTTTATTTCAATTAATTGATGGTCAAAGGTTAAAAAAAGACAAGGAACTAGAATATTTGGGCCCATAAGAGTGTGACAATGCTATTTTTTCTTCCGAATGTTTCCTTAATGAAACAGACATCTGGATAAATTAAAATATTATTTAAGGTGCCTTATATTTTCTGACTTAAAATCTACTGCTTAGTTTAAATACTGTCTATAATAGATCAACCAAGATCTTTAAGGCTCACAGAAATTTGGCTTTGGCTTGGGATGGGGTGGGGTGAGGAGGGTGAGATCCAATAATCTATGCAATGTGAGCTAAAAACTTCAAGGATTAGCTATATTCTAAAAGTGGAGAGAAAACGCCATACTGGTAGTCTTACATCCTACTTCTTACATTCCACAAACAACAACAGGTATCCAGACTCATGCCATAGTGTGTGTACTCCATGAACCAGAAAGAGCAAACCAAAAGTTCAAACCTACTGAAGGTCCTGGCTTTCCTCTCATCCCTGGTGGTCCAGGAAAACCCCTAGCGCCCTAAAAGAAAAGAACAGTACAGTGAAGAGAAAAACTATTATACGACAGAAGGCAGATACACCTCTATTTACAAATTACTAAAAAAATTCATGGAATTATTCTAAAATAATTGAGAAAACTGTTTTAAACAAGACTTGTAAAACCATATTGATACCATATCCTAAAAAACATATAATCAATGATTAAAATAATGAGTACTCCTTTCTTTTTAAAGAATTTATACATTTTCACTGGCTTTTGTTGTATTTATATAAAATTAACGGTAAAAACATTACCTTGTCTCCAGGATACCCTGGTTCTCCTGGCTCTCCCACAATGCCTTGTTCACCCTGGAGAGCACAATTTCACGTGAAGACACTTAAGCAATGCAAATGTGGCAATATTATAAGAAGGCAAATACTAGTTATACAAGAGTAATTTCTCTATTTTTCCTACTTCTGAGAAAAATTATATACTTGATAGTAGAGATTAGATCCCATATTTTTTAAAACAAGTATTTTATAAGTTGTGTGGATTCAAAAGAAAATGTGATAAGAAATCATCTCTATGACAATGTAAATATTTAAATCACCTTATCACCTTTGATTCCAGGTAGGCCCTTATTCCCCGAAAGACCCTAAAAAAGAAAGTGATACTTTGTGACACCATAGAAAAATCAAAGCGAAATATCCATTATAAAAATAGAAACATACCATTGGGCCAGGGATTCCAGAAAGTCCAACTGGTCCCATAGGGCCAACACTGCCCTGAAAAGCAATAAGAAAGAAAGTCATCCTTGAGCACCCAACTAGAATTTAAAAGAGAACATGGTAAACTTAATTAACCCTGAATGGTTCATCTGACTAAGCTCCCACACATGCCTTATTCTTCAACTACTTCTTTTCCTTCTCACATTTATAAATCATACCAATCATTCAAATTTTAATGAGGTCTATCCTGTTTCCTGAAGCCTACTCATACGGATCTTGTCCATGAGCCTCCTTGCCTTCCTTGAGCTCCTATAATACTTACTACCCACAGCATTCATTTTGAAGTATTTCTCCAGAGAGATAATATCTTGATGATAGGGGAAATACTTTAGTGCCATGTTCCCAGGAAGTATTCAATAAATACTTCATTTGCTTGTCTTAGATTTTTCTTTCACCCGTTTATTCAGCAAACATTTATTGGGCAGTTACTATGTGTCAGGCATTCCAATGATTTTATTTCATGATTTACAACTTGCAGACAACAAAAATTACCATAATTTTAGGGAAATGAGTAGTAAACAAAAGGCTCTGCTCTTCTGGGTTTCTCTCATTCATTCATCATTTAATATTTATTGAGCATAATATGTATCAAACATTGTAGTGTTGTATGGTAGTGTTGAGGAAACAAACATGAAAGAGACATAGACACCAAAGTCAAGGTTTTCAATTTAATGCTCCAAAGCAAGATTACTCAAAAACATTAACTACCACTATCATCTCCTGCAAGCAACAGACCTAGAAAAACTTCTTTAATATGTCATCTTAGAATGTAAAGGACAATTTATAAGGGTTTTTGAAAGTAAAATTTTAAAAAATAGTGGAAATCTCTTGATTGTTTGGAGCCCACTAAATTTTTGTGTTATTGATGCCTTCACTTTCCTTCTTTCTCTTGCAACCTCTCTGTGCCTGGCTAACGTATCATCCTTCATCTTCAAATACTGAGTTGCTTTAAACCTCCATTTCTTGCTTTCCAAATGTTAAGGAACTTTGAAAGGTGTATTTGCAGCAATGATGAAAATGTTGCCCTTTTTAGTTGTAATCCAAACTTTTTAGGATAGCATCCCAGGCCCTTACTACTAGTTTTCCATCAACCCTTTCAGTCTCATGTCCTTCCATTCGTCCCTACTCTCCTTTGACTTCTTCCTCCTCCAAACCCAACATTCTAGACACAATGGGCTGTGTTCTAGCCTCTGAACATGCTCTCCCTTACCACATGCTCCAACCCTTTGAAGATACAGTTACCACTGCTGGAATGTCCTTCTTCTTACAGTACTGAGAATACTGCCCTGTTTTTGTTTTTTTGTTTTCTTTTTTCTGTTTTCCTAATCTGTGCATTATGTGAGAGCAGAAGCATGTTTTATTCATTTTTTTATATCTCTGACCCAACATAATAACTGGCACGTAATAGTTTTGAAATAAACTATGGAATGAACACTGGAGGAAGTAATCAACTTCAAAAATAAATTTAAAACAGTGATTTCCAGAGGTCTACATCCTGACATAATGGCCCATTTCTAATAGTCCACATTTATATAACTACAAATTTCAGAACAGAAAATATGACATCTTTACTTTGGGGTGAGTCTTAAAGTCTGTAAAATATAACTACTATATATTTCCAACATGTGTAAGCCTGAAATACATGAGACTGCTAGAGGCAGAGTAATACTTTCCAACTTAATGAACAGATATGCAGTATTAATACATCATTGACAAATTCTATCAATAGGAAATAATTATTCTTATAATTACAGTGGCTAGTTTATTCAAAGTTCATAGCTTTAAAACTTATGTAGTTTAAAACACACAGGGTTCTCGCCTGCGGAGACTGGTGGAGTCGGGCAGGAAGCTTTAAAGCAGTTTCATGCCGGGCCTTACCCCAGATTTTCTGATTTGATTCCTCCCCAGTGAGGCCCAGCATCGGTTCAAGATTCCCACGTGATTCCACTGCAGGCTGAGAATCAAAGTCTAAGCAAAATGACCTTGAAGTCCTTTCGCAGAGGACCAGAGAGTAGTTTGGAAAACGACCAAATATTCTGAAGCCCTGGTCTATAGTGTGGTATGTTTCTTTGTATGATTTTGTCTATTTAGATTTGCTTTTACCATTTGTCCTAGGGTTCTGACTGTTCGTTTTTTTGTTGTTGTTGTTTGTTTTCTTCTTATGAGTGTGTGTATATGTTTATTTGTGTGATTTTGTCTGTTTAGTTTTGCTTTTACCATTTGGTTTGGGGTTCTATTGTTCGTGCATTTTTCTTCTTTTTTCCTTCTTTTTTCTTCCTTTTCTTCTGACCCATGTGGGTGGCAGGGTCTTGGTGCTCCAGCCAGGTGTCAGGTCTGAGCCTCCACGGTGGGAGAACTGAGTCCAGGACACCGGACCACCAGAGACCTCCTGGCCCCAAGTAATATCATTTGGTGAGAGCTCTCCCAGAGATCTCTGTCTAAACACTAAGACTCAGCTCCAACCAACAGCCAGCAAGCTCCAGTGTTGAATGCACCATGCCAAACAACCAGCAGGACTGGAACACAACCCCACCTACTAGCAGAGAGGCCACCTAAAGTCATACTAAGTCCACAGATACCCCAAAATTCACCACTGGATGCGGCCCTGCCCACCAGAAGAACAAGATCCAGCCCCACCCACCAGAACACAGGGACCAGTCCCCTCCGCCAGGAAGCCTACACAAACCACTGAACCAACCTCACAACTAGGGGTCAGACACCAAAAACAACAGGAACTAGAACCTGCAGCCTGTGAAAAGGAGATGCCCAATACAGTAAGTTGAACAAAATGAGAAGAGACATATGCAGCAGATGAAGGAGCAAAGTAAAAACCCACCAGACCAAACAAATGAAGAGGAAATAGGCAGTCTACCGGAAAAAGAATTCAGAGTAATAAAAGTAAAGATGATCCAAAATCTTGGAAGTAGAATGGAGAAAATACAAAAAGCGTTTAACAAGGACTTAGAAGAATTAAAGAGCAAACAAAGAATGATGAACAACAAAATAAATGAAATTAAAAATTCTCTAGAAGGAATCAATAGCAGAATAACTGAGGCAGAAGACCAGATAAGTGACCTGGAAGATAAAATTGTGGACATAACTACCGCAGAGCAGAATAAAGAAAAAAGAATGAAAAGAATTGAGGACAGTCTCAGAGACCTTTGGGACAACATTATATGCACCAACATTCAAATTATAGGGGTCACAGAAGAAGAAGAGAAAAAGAAAGGTCTGAGAAAATATTTGAGGAGAGTATACTTGCAAACCTCCTTAACAGGAGAAAGGAAATAGTCGATCAAGTCCAGGAAGCGCAGAGAGTCACATACATGAGAAATCCAAGGAGAAACATGCCAACACACACATTAATCAAACTATCAAAAATTAAATACAAAGAAAAGATATTAAAAGCAACAAGGGACAAGCCAAAAAAAAAATAAACAAGGGAATTCCCATAAGGTTAACAGCTGAACTTTCAGCAGAGACTCTGCAAGCCAGCAGGGAGTGGCAGGACATATTTAAAGTGACGAAAGGGAAAAACCTACAACCAAGGTTACTCTACCCAGCAAGGATCTCATTCTGATTCGATGGAGAAATTAAAACCTTTACAAACAAGCAAAAGTTAAGAGCACCACCAAACCAGTTTTACAACAAATGCTAAAGGAACTTCTCTAGGTGGTAAACACAAGAGAAGGAAAAGACAAACAAAAACAAACCCAAAACAATTAAGAAAATGGTAATAAAAACATACATATCGATAATTACCTTAAATGTAAATGGTTTAATTGCTCCAACAAAACACACTGACTGGCTAAATGGATACAAAAACAAGATCCGTATATATGCTGTCTACAAGAGACCGACTTGAGACCTAGGGACACATACAGATTAAAAGTGAGGGGATGGAAAAAGATATTCCATGCAAATGGAAATCAAAAGAAAGCTGGAGTAGCAATACTCATATCAGAAAAAATAGACTTTAAAATAAAGACTGTTATAAAGAACAAAGAAGGATATGACATAATTATCAAGGAATCAGTCCAAGAAGAAGGTGTATCAATTTTGAATACTTATGTACCCAACATAGGAGCACCTCAATACATAAGGCAAATGTTAACAGCCCTAAAAGGGGAAATCGACAGTAACACTGTAATAGAAGGGGACTTTAACACCCCACTTCCACAAATGGACAGATCATCCAAAATGAAAATAAATAAGGAAACACAAGCTTTAAATGATACAGTAGACCAGATGGACTTAACTGATATTTATAGGACATTCCACCAAAAACAACAGAATACACTTTCTTCTCAAGTGCTCAAGGAACATTCTCCAGGATAGATCATATGTTGGGTCACCAAATGAGCCTTGGTACATTTAAGAAAATTGAAATTGTATCAAGTATCTTTTCCTACAACAACACAATTACAGGAAAAAAACTGTAAATAATACAAACCCATCGAGGCTAAACAATACACTACTAAATAGCCAAGAGATCACTGAAGAAATCAAAGAGGAAATCAAAAAATACCTAGAGACAAATGGCAATGAAAACATGATGACCCAAAACCTATGGGATGCAGCAAAAGCAGTTCTAAGAGGGAAGTTTAGAGCTATACAGTCCTACCCCAGGAAACAAGAAACATCTCAAATAAACAACCTCACCTTACACCTAAAGCAACTAGAGAAAGAAGAACAAAGAAAACCCAAAGTCAATAGAAGGAAAGAAATCATAAAGAGCAGAAATAAATGAAAAAGAAATGAAGGAAACAATAGCAAAGTCAATAAAACTAAAAGCTGGATATCTGGGAAGATAAACAAAATTGATAAGCCACTAGCCAGAAAAGGGAGAACACTCAAAGCAATAGAATTAGAAATGAAAAAGAAGTAAGAACTGACTCTGCAGAAATACAAAGGATCATGAAAGATTACTACAATCAACTGTATGCCAATAAAATGGACAACCTGGAAGAAATGCACAAATTCTTAGAAAAGCACAC